GACCATGCGGTTCATGCCGTAGCCGCCGTAGCCGCGGCCGTAGCCGCCGCCGTAGCCGCCGTAGCCGCCGCCGTAGCCGACCATGCGGTTCATGCCGTAGCCGCCGTAGCCGCCGTAGCCGCCGCCGTAGCCGCCGTAGCCGCCGTAGCCGCCGTAGCCGCCGCCGTAGCCGCCGTAGCCGCCGCCGTAGCCGACCATGCGGTTCATGCCGTAGCCGCCGTAGCCGCCGCCGTAGCCGCCGTAGCCGCCGCCGTAGCCGCCGTAGCCGCCGTAGCCGTAGCCGTTCGTGCGGCCGTAGTAGCTGTTCGTCCGGCCGCCGTAGTTGCTGTAGTACGGCGAGTCGCCGTCGATCGCGACGTTGTTTATGCGCTCGCGGGCCGTGAAGCCGTCCTTGATGCTCTCCCGCGCGGCGAGGGCCGGGGGGACATCGTAGCCGTAGCCGTAGTTCAGCTTCGTCGTCGACACACCCTCGGAGTTCTTCGCGGGAGCGATGGCGGCAGTCTTGGGGGCCTTGTTCGCCGGGGCGAAGGCGTCGGAGGTGGCCACGAGGGCGATGGCGAAGGTGGCGGCGCGCATGTTGGTAGTATTCACGTGCTGCGGGCGCTCGTGATGGCGTTGGGAGGCGACGACGTGGCTTCGAGGAGAAGCTTTTGCCTAGACTCTGAGAGCTTGTGCCCGATCCTCCGTACTTCATCCAGGGCTTCATGATCGACATTGTAGGCGTCATTGTGCAGCGTTTTGGCCGGGCCCGGCCCCGGCTCCGAAAATATGCAGAATTGTGCAACGACCCCAGCAGCTGCGAGGGCCGCAAGGACGAGGGTGAGGCACACGCTCATACGACCGCGTGGCGACTGGAACCGTTGACTAGTTCGGCCCGAGTCCGGGAGCACTGCCAAAAGCCGCGCGCGTCACGTAGCCGCGCCGCTCTACCAGCGACAAGTCGAGTGCACGGGTGCTTACGGCACGCGGGGGGGATACACAGGGTCTTCGGGCGAACGGGGCGAGGCGAGGAAGAGAGGGTGTGCGCGAGAGGGTGAGCGGACCTGGCCCCTAAGGGGCAGGGACCGTCCACGCGCCGCTCGCTCTTGGGCCGGCGCGGGGCGTGTGCGCGCCGCTTAGTAGCCGCCGTAGCCGCCGCCGTAGCCGCCGTAGCCGCCGCCGTAGCCGCCGTAGCCGCCGCCGTAGCCGCCGCCGCGGCCGTAGCCGCCGCCGTAGCCGCCGCGGCTCATGCCGTAGCCGCCGTAGCCGCCGCCGGAGCCGCCGCCACCGTAGCCGACCATGCGGTTCATGCCGTAGCCGCCGCCGGAGCCGCCGCGGCTCATGCCGTAGCCGCCGTAGCCGCCGCCGTAGCCGCCGCCGCCGTAGCCGACCATGCGGTTCATGCCGTAGCCGCCGCCGTTGCCGCCGCCGTAGCCGCCGCCGTAGCCGCCGCCGTAGCCGCCGCCGTAGCCGCCGCCGTAGCCGCCGTAGCCGCCGCCGTAGCCGCCGCCGTAGCCGCTGCGGCTGTATTGGCTGTTCGTCCGGCCGCCGTAGTTGCTGTAGTACGGCGAGTCGCCGTCGACCGCGACGTTGCCCATGCGCTCGCGGGCCGTGAAGCCGTCCTTGATGCTCTCCCGCGCGGCCAGGGCCGGGGGCACATCGTAGCCGTAGCCGTAGTTCAGCTTCGTCGTCGACACACCCTCGGAGTTCTTCGCGGGAGCGATGGCGGCAGTCTTGGGGGCCTTGTTCGCCGGGGCGAAGGCATCGGAGGTGGCCGCGAGGGCGAGGGCGAAGGTGGCGGCGCGCATGGTGCGATGTATGGTGTTGCGATCTGGTGCGACGAAGAGCGCGGTGGTGACTGCTTCTGATGCTTCGGCCCGTCGAGATCTGTAGTACGCGGGATGACGAGATGATGACGTCGGATTCTAGGATTACTTTAGGCTAGCGGGCTACGCCTCGGGCTGCTCCTTAATGATACCATGCAGGGCTTCTTGTCACCGACGCAACTCTTCCCCTTCGCCCAGTCTCCTCCCTACTACCGCTGCTCTCGACGTCGATGGCGGCGCGGCGGAGCTGATCGTCGCGTTCTTCCGACACCGGGCGGTTGTGAAGCTTACGAGGACGCAGCCGTCGTCGGGCTCCTCCGACGTCTGCGGCGCCGCGGACGCGTGGGCGTCGCGCGCCCGCTCCCGCGCCAGCGACTTCTCGCGCGCGAGGAGCCGCTCGAGGTGCTCTCGCGCCGGTTGCGAAGCGTGAGACGGACCCGCGACCAATCCCCTCTCGTATCGACGCTCGAGGAGCTGCCTCGCGTGCACGGCGCACGGCGCCTCGCGCGCCGCCCACCCCCAACAACCATGTTCAAAAAGCGCACCTCCAAGAACAAGACATCGAAACGAACACCCACGACCACCGACGACCACGACGACGAAAAAGAAAGACCGAAAAGCACGCTCCTCAGCTTCGACGCCGGCGACGAGGGCCCCGTCTTCAAAGTGAAAAAGAAAAAGCTGCGCAAGGCGCCGCGGCCGCGCGCGCCGTCGGAGGAAGTCCAACCACCCGCACCAGCAACGTCGCTCTACTCCGCCGAGGGCCTCGCCGCGCTCCGCGCGTCGCAGAAAGCGTTGCCGGCCGAGATCGCCGCCGAGGCCGCGCGCATCGCCGAGGACGAGGCCGCGGCCGTCGCCGCCGCGGAGGAGGAGGCGGCCGACGCCGAGCGGCAGACCAGCGACGCGCGGCGCGACGACGCGCGCGCCAAGGCCGCGCGCGTCGAGCGCGCGACGGCGCGGGGCCTCCAGGACGAGCTCGAGCGCACGGCGCACGTCGAGGACTTTGATGTGAGAAATGATGACGACGACGACAGCGACGACGGCCACGGCGCGCCCGTCGCGCGGGCCGAGGACTTCGTGCCCCTGCCCGGCGGCGCGGGAAAAGTAGCGAGAGAACGGGACGAGGAGCGGCGGCGGTGGCTCCGGGCGGGGGCGGACGCGGGCGACGTCGACGCGCCCGCGGCCGAGGGCGGCGCCATGGACGCGGCGCTCAAAGTCGCGGGCGAGGCCGACGACGACGACGAGGCCCTCGCGGCCCACGAGCGCGAAATCATGCGGCGCGGCGCGTCGACGGCCGCCGTCGCGGGCGCGCCGAAATTCGCGCCAGAGGGACCCCGGCGACCTACGGCGGCGACCTACGACGACGTCTTCGTGAGCGTCGGGCGGCGGCTCGACGATCTCGAGGGCGACGGCGCGCCCGCGGAGTGGCTCCCGCGGAAGCGGCTCCGCGACGCCGCGGCGCACGCGGCGGCCGAGGCGGAGCGCGCCGAGCGCCTCGTCGCCGCGCGGCTCGCGGCCGTCGACGCCCACGACCGCGCCCTCGCGGCGGCCTACGCCGACAAGGCCCACGCGGCGCTCGCGGCCGGCCGGCTCCGGGCCGCGGCGGGCCTGGTCGCGGCGGCCGCGGACGCGTGCGAGCGCGCGCGCGCGGCCGCGGCGGCCGTCGACCCGAGCCTGCCGCCGCCGCCGCCGGGCGCGCCGCCGCTCCACGCGCTCACGGCGCCCTACGACCCGGACGCGGCCCACTTCGCCGCGCTCCGCGCGGCCATGCGCGACGCCGTCGCGCTCGTCGCCGAGCACGAGCCCGACGGCGGCGGCGGCTTCTCCGTCTACGCCGCGGGCGCCGCCGGGTAGCGCGGGCGTAATGCGGGCTTTGGCGTCGTCGAAGGGCAAGGAGCACACCGCCGTCTTGGCGAGCTCTCCAAAATCTCGCGCCTTTAACGGCCGAGGCCTCGGTCGTTGAAGGAGCCTTGAGGGCAAGGAGCACCGCCGGTCGGCGAGCTGCGTTATCAGTCCACAAGTCTGCCGCTTAGACTGGTCTGCGGCAGCTCTCTTCGGCCTCGACTTCGGCGGCGCGTCGTCGCGGCCGGCTTCCACGCTCGACTTCGGCAGCGCGTCGAAGCCCTCGAAGCTCTTCGGCTCGACTTCGCGACGCTTTTTAGAGACAACCATGTTCACGAAGCCGAAGTTCACGCAGACCGGCAAGGTCGTGCGCGCGAGCCCCGAGAGCTTCGAGGGCCTCGCGAAGATGGCTAAACAGGTCGACGCCAAGGGCGTCTTCTCTTTGACCGCGGCGGCGCCCACGAACGCGAAGCGGAGATCGCCGCGTGGCTCGAGACCGTCGAGGAGGAGGACTGCCCCTTCGGCGAGTTCTCGGGCGTCCAGCTGCTCGTCGCGCCGGAGAAGCCGTGCGACGACAGCTCGTGCGACGAGGACCACGACGAGGAGCCGCCGGAGCTCGCGACGGCGGCGGACGTGCGCGACGCCTGCGCGGCGCTCGTCGCCGACCTGCCGGCGAGCTTCCGCGGGAGCGTCGAGGCCGACGCGATCGCGCTCGCGGCCGCGTCGACGAAGCTCTGCCCCGAGACGCCGTGGCTCACGCTGCGCCTCGAGGTCGTCCAGCTCGAGGCCTGCTGGCGCTGGCACCAGGACTTTTACACGGCGCGGACGCTCTGCTGCTACGTGGGCCCGGGCACGCACTGCTGCGACGACGCCGCCGTCGACTGGGACGCCTTCGAGGCGACGATGGGCGACGAGTCGAACCTCGAGTGCGTGCCCGAGGGCCGCGTCCGGTCCATGGAGACGAACGCCGTGCTCCTCATGAAGGGCGACTCCTGGCCGGGCATCCGCGGCACGGGGCTGACGCACAAGTCGCCCTCGGGCTTCTGGCTCGGGTCCGACGCGCCGAAGCGACTCATCCTCAAGGTCGACCTCAACGACAACCGGCCCCCGCTCGCCGACGACTCGGACGGCGAGGGCGACGACGAGGAGGACGAGGAGGGCGGCGAGGAGGAGGACGAGGAGGACGAGGACGAGGACGAGCCGCCGCCGCCCGAGCCGAAGCGCCAGCGGCGGCGCTAGAGCGCGCGCGTCTTAAAACGTCCAGCTTTGTTTAACTGTCCTTTGCGGCGTCGCCCCACCGATGCAGGTCAGCAGGAGGACCCAAGACGAGTCGTCGGAGGGAGGACGCGGGCACCAGCTTCGCCAGCTTCGCCAGTGAAGG